TATTGCAAATTATGGCTGTATGTATCAGTTGGATGAATCTTGGGAATGTAAATTTCAACAACAAAAAAGCAAGTTGCAGAGATTATAATTCCATTTACATAAATTTCGAAAATGTGCAAAACTAAATACTATATTGTTTAAGGTTAGGTATACTCATAGAAAACAAAGTAAAGCAAGAGAATAATGAAAATGAAATTCAGGGTACTAGTTTCCTCTGTAGGGATTAGGGAAGGGGCATGCCATTGGGGTGGACCACATGGGTTTCAAAGTTCCTGGAGATTTTATATTTCTTTATCTGGGTAGTGGGCACACAGCTATTCATTTCATTATCATTCCCTATATCTTGCACATGACATGAATATACTTTTGTATGAATTAAAATATTTAACAAAAATGTGAGTCTGTCATTATTGCTTATTCATATATCCTTTGATAGGCTCCCATTTTTCTTTTATTACACTGTTTCTAGCATTTAGAAAAATACCTTAAGGGCCGGCTGAGTGGTGCGTTGGTTAAGAGTTGTCTTGGGACGCCAGCTCTGAGCGGCAGGGCCCCAGTTCGGATCCCACATGAGGGCCAGTGATGCTGCGCCCTCTACAGCTAAGATGGTGAACAACAGCTCAACCTGGAGCTGGGTGGCCATGAGTTGCCGGCGACCGGCTTAGGCTGCAGTGGGGCTGCAGTGAGCTCCCATAAGCTACTGTGAGTGGCCGGCAGCCGGCATGAGCTGCCAAGAGCCGCCGTGAATGGCCGTCCAGTGGCCGGTGACCGATCTGCCTCACCTGGGAAGAGCACAGTGATAATACCAACATGGGCCAGTGAAGCGACGTCCTCCACAACTAGACTGAAGAACAAAAGGACAGCAATTTGTCTGTTCCCCTTCCTTGATTCCCCAACGCTGTTCCCGCCCCCAATTCCCCAATAAAATCTTTAAAAAAAAAGAAAGAAAGAAAAATGCCGTAGGGGTTTTAATTAGTAGTAGTTTATTTAATCTATTTCTTAAATTGGGAAGAATTCAGGTTTTTTTTTTGCTTTACTAAGTTTTTCCATCTAGGAGAGGGTAAAGTTCTATTTTATTTCTTCCTTAAGGTTTTATTATTTTCTTGGGATGAATATTATTGTGACCCAGTACATCCAAGAATTTAATAACTTAATGCTTTCATTACTGTTGCGAGTGGAAACATCCTCCTATGCTTTTGAACTCAGACACTGACTTGCACACTGAAACTCATCAATTTCCTATAATAATCACACCTCCTCTCTTTGGATTTTCTAGGTGGGCAAACATATTATCTACAGTATGATATTTTATTTCTTCATTTTCTACCTATTATACCTTTTTGATTCTTTTCTGTTTTTCTAATAGCGATTGCCAGCATTTCTCATGATATATAAAATAGGGATGATGACAGAAAGCCTCAGACTTGGTCAGAAGACATGGGTTCACGTCCTGGCTCTGCCATATACTAGCTGAGTAACAGTAGGCAAGTTACTTAATCTCTCTGAGCCTTGCTTCTCTCATTTCATCATATGGAAAATGAGGGTGCTGAACTTTAATTCCTCAAGTTGCTTCTGGTTCTGAAATGAGGCCATTCTAGTGTATCTCTATCAAGTTAGAATTGTCTCCTTATTTTAAATACCCTTCATTGTGGGGTTTTGTTTTATCTGTAGTTTTAATCAAGAATAGATGCTGCAGACTGATGAAAGCCATATTGACATGGGTTGAGAAAATTAAATTTTAACTGTAGATCTTTATATTATGATGAAACCAGTGATTGATTTGCTCATAGCATCCCTGCTTTACATTTTAGAGAAAATTATCTGGCGACTGAAGAGCATTCTTTGAACATGAGTGTGGATTTAGTTAGCCAAGGTTTCATTTTGGATTTTTGCCTTTATGTTCACAAGTGAGATTTTGACCATAGGTTTGTGTTGTTTTCTTTTTTCTTATTTTCTTTTTGTGTGCTATCCTTGTTCATCCTATTTTTTTTTCCTTTTAAAATAGTTTTGTACACTATACGGTATAGGAATTACTGATTTATTCTTTAAAAGCTAGGGAATTACATCAGGGCCATGGGCCATTTTAAATGTTTGACCTTATTTCTTCTGCAGATCTGCTTACACCTTGGGCCTCTTGGGGAAAGGCAGCCTTTTGGGTGTAGCTAGGAGGCTTCTTGTCTGGGACCACTCAGAGCTCTGCTAACTCCCTCCAGAATCTGGAGCAGGTCACTTTCTCTCTGAGTTTTCTCGTCTGTAAAATGGGAATTGCAACAGTCTTCCAAATGAAGTGTGAAGCAGTGGTGGGCATGCTTTGGAAACTAGAAATCCCCTGCCTTCTCTCACAGAGGGGGCCCAGTAGCAGGCTGGGTATCTTGTATTTTTACAGGTCTTTGTTCATTTCTACTCAGTTTTTGGACTCATAAACAACTGAGACAAGCCCATTGCCACACGCTTTTGGAATATATATTTTGCAGATTCCTTTAAAAAAATACAATGGTTTTAAATAACAAAAGGGTATCTTTGCATTATTTCCTGTGAAGTTTTAAAAATTTTTTCCCACTTATTATTTTTTTAAAATTTATACCACTAATAAGAAGTGAGAGAACTCTAACTTAAAACTCAGGGATGCCTTTTTTTTGTTTTACTTTATTGTAAAAGAACCTTTGAAACCTCTTTTTTTAAGGATTCTTATTGATACATTTATATAGTATCCCTCCGACTCCAGTACCATCTTTAAAAGTTAGCTTAACAATTTTTGATGATTGGAGCTAAGGAAAATAACTCAGAGCAACTGAGATTAATTTTACTCATTAGCAAAAAGTTTATAAACAAGAATGTTATATGAACAGGGATATTTTTTTGTCTCACCTTTCCAGAATGAGCTTCCTGAGCACAGGGACTTTGTGTGTGTGTGTGTGTGTGTGTGTGTGTGTGTGTGTGTGTGTGTGTGTGTTTATGTTTATTGCTGCATCCCCAGCTCCTAGATTGGAACCTGGCACATAGTAGGTGCTCAATAAGTATTTGTTGAATGGATGAATATAGGATAATTCTNTATATGAACAGGGATATTTTTTTGTCTCACCTTTGTCACATAGAGAAACTATAAACAGATACGATGTGTGTGTGTGTGTGTGTGTGTGTGTGTGTGTGTGTGTGTGTGTGTTTATTGCTGCATCCCCAGCTCCTAGATTGGAACCTGGCACATAGTAGGTGCTCAATAAGTATTTGTTGAATGGATGAATATAGGATAATTCTCATTCTTTAGTTTAATAACGTGTGCATGTTTTTATGAACGAGACTAATGGTTTATTTAACTTTTTGTCAAATATATGACTATTATTTCTGCAAATATATGACTATTATTAAAGAAAAACCTGTGGCTTTTCTTTCTCAGTTTTACTTATTCCTGCTGTTGGCTAAGGTATTGAAACACCTTTGCTTTTTCCTCTATTGGTCTTCTCCAACGGCTCCTTCCAGGCTCTTTGGATGACTTGTATTCATATCTTTTCTTCCTTCCTTCCTTCCTTCCTTCCTTCCTTCCTTCCTTCCTTCCTTCCTTCCTTCCTTCCTTCCTTGCTCTTTCTCTATTTCATCACTCATATATTTCCCATTCATTCATTTAAGTGATATTCAAAAAGCCCCTACTGTATGCCGGAGTGCTAGGCATGGAGGAGATGGGGTAAACAAGGCTGTCATGATGTCTGGGCTCATGGGAACTATAGTCTGAGATGGAAGACAGGCTGAGCAGATATATTTCACAAATACCTAATTATAAATTATGGTCGGGGTTATGAAGGCAAAGCTTGGGGGTGCATGGAGTTTTAGGAAAGGTTTCCATGGGGCTGTTTTCGCTGAGATGTAAAGAAAAATTAGGAACCTCAGGAAATAGCATGGGGAAGGCTGAGGGTGGGGGGAAGGAAGGAGAGCCAACCAACTTGGGGAACCCAGAGCAACCAGAATCACTGGAACACAGTGAGTGCAGCAGAAGGTGGGGTGAGGGACCTCGAAGGGCACCGTCATGATTCACTCATGCCCCTCTTTCAGTCATGACTCCTCCTCCAAGACCTCCCTGGCAGGATCCACCCCCTCCCCCATACTGTAACAAATTGCATTGGTATCTTGGTTGTCTGCGTATGATCTGTGTTGCTGATTTCTTTTCTGGATTTGGCAGTCATTTAAGAAAAAAATTGTGCTTAATGTAATTGGTAGTTGTATCTTTGGGGAGGTCACTTAACCTCCCAGAGCCTCAGTTTCCCTGAAACGGGAGTAATGATGTCTACCCCAGGGGGTCCTCTGTGACGTCTGCCAGGTTACTCTGTGATTGTCTGTTGGATGCCTGTCTTCCTTAGGAGACTGAGAGCAGAGGGAGGGTGGGTGTAGCTCACCTGTGTGCTTCTGGCTCCTGTGACCAGGTATGGTATGGAGTGAAGGGATTTGGGAGGTCTTCATGGAAGACTGCCCCAGGGCTGGGCCCAGGGGACAAGCTGGGTTTGAGGAAGGAGGAAGGGCTGCAGAGGTGTGGACATACCCAGGGTCTGCAAAGCGGAAATTAGCTAGTGAAGACTGAACCAGAGAGGTGGTAGCAATAAGAATAATAGTGACAGCGCTACTTACTGGGCCCTTGCTATGTGCTAGGCATTGTTCTAAATGCTTTATATATACTCATTTAGCCTCGCAGTAATCCTATGAGGTAGGTGCTATTATTATTCCCATTTTACAAAGGAGCAAATGGAGGCACAGAGGGATTAAGAATCTTGCCCAAGGTCACACAAGCTAGCAAGGGTTGGAGCCTGGATTTAAGACCAGGCATTGTGGCTTCAGAGTTTTAAGAGGTAATGAATGCAGAGAAGTGGGAGGGCCTTGAATGCCAGGCTAGGAGGCCCATCCAGTCTTTATCCTATTGGCTGTGGGAACCATGGAAGGCTTTTGAGGGAGGGAGTGCTAAGGCTGTGCACAGTGTGCCCAGGAAAGCTGATTGTGGCCATCCCTCTCTCCTGCAGAAACCATCCATAGAGCAGCCCCTGTACAACAGCAGCCTGTGGGGCCCAGCGCTCGATGGCTGTGACTGCGTAGCTGAGGGCCTGTGGCTGCCGCAACTACATGTAGGGGACTGGCTGGTCTTTGAGAACATGGGCACCTACACCTACACTGTGGGCATGGGCTCTCTCTTCGGGGGAACCCAGACCTGCCGCGTCACCTATGCCATGTCCCGGGTGGCCTGGTAAGGGGGCCCCGAGGGGAAATGGAGTGGGGGAGGTATAGGGCGCAGGCCTGACTGAAGCAATGGGGGAGACCTGAGCTTTGAGACCCTGCTTCTGTGTAATCCAATTTGACAGGCTGCTGATGCCAAGTGAGGCCTGTGCTTGGCATCTGGCTGTGGCCATGAATGAGACGGAGCTCCCTTCCCTTGAGGAGCTCAGAGCCTGGGAGAGACACAGAGAAGCGGACAGAACTCCTGATACTTCAGTGCTGGGTGGAGGGGGAGGGCTGTGGAAGCTTAGACTCCTCCCTGAGGCCCAGCTCCACTTACTCCCCTGAGGAAGGAAGGATGAAGTCAAAGCCTGGTAAATGAGTGGGCGTTAGACAGCAGGAGGCAGGAGGGGGGCTCCAGGCAGAGGGAACGCGGAGCAAGCATGCTGCCTTCATGAAACTGTGCGAGGTTGGTCATGGCTGGAGGGGGAGCAGGGTTGGATCTGAGAAGGACCTTGGAGGCTGAGTGAAATGCTTTGAGCAGCGAGAGGGAAGCATGGGCTGGCTTGAAGAGTGGGAGCCACAATGTCTGACTTGGATTCTAGAAACCACTCTAGCTACTGTGTGGACTAAGGGAGGACAAGGGCATAGCACTGGCCCTGCGTGCCTCGCCAGGCCAGCGATGGGATCTGGGAGGCAAGAAGGTGCGTGAGATGGGGGGAAAAGTTGAGTTTGTTGAACGCTTCTGTCAAGGCCTTATGATTATTTCCTCTCACCCCCAAAACTCTGTGGGATCAGTGTTATCACAAACAAATAGGCCGCTTGCTTGAGTTCACACAGCTGGTCAGCAGTGAAGAGCCCCCCTTTGGAAGAAGGCTGTGGAGGCCAGGAGCAGTTAGAAGGGGCTTTTGTGCTGGGCCTTTAGGAGTGAGTGCAGCCTGTGTCCTGAGGGGCATGTTGGGTTGTTTGAGGGCCTGATGGGGTTCAGTATCACAGTCACACACCTTTGTTGTTTCCACACCCTGCACGGGCGTGGGCTAGGCTAATGCAGCCATTTTGACATCAGGGGTATTTTGACAAGGCCTAAAAAACAAAGTAAAAAAACCAATCACCACACATCCTGGTGATTTCATTACCCCATCCTGGCTCTATCACCAGCAGACACAGGCGGATGAGATTGCAGGGAATCAGCTGCACTCATTACTAGGAACAAAACATTCTGATGTATTAAAATGGCCATGTCAAGAAATTGCCCGTATCACAGGGGCCTCGTCAAAATGTCCTGCTTTAGAGACTGGCTCTGTGCCCAGTCCTGGAGGGTACAGGAGCATCTAAAAGCATGGTGAGCCGACAAGGGGAGGGGTGGCACTGCGTGATGGGTAAGGAGTCAGTCAGGCACAGAAGGGCCAGGCAAGCGACAGCAGGGTGGATGGGCCGAGAGGTATGGGGGCTTGAAAGAATCCAGTTCATTCAAAGAACTGCACGTAGCTCTGGCTGGAGTGGCATGTGGGGAGGACTGGATCAGGAAGGACATAGGAGGCAGTAGGTAGCCATTGAAGGGTTTTAAGAAATTGGACCAACCGATTTTGAAGGATAAGGAGACCGAGGCTCAGGCCAAGGGTGCTTGGCCTGGACAAACTCCCACCTGGAAGGGAGCTGCCTGACTGGGATCGGTGTAAGGATACTGACTACTGATTTGTTGTTGAATTGTACACATTAGCAAAGAGGGAGGCCCTCCTGAAGGCGGGAGACTGGAGTGGGCTAGAAATATGAAAGGAGGGAAGGAAGGATGTAGGTGCAAGAGAGAGGGTCTGTGGAGAAGCAGATCCCGGCAGACGTAAAGGACAAGCTGGCATGCCCCCTTCCCCCAGGCCTCTCGACACTGAACCCAACGCCCTTTCCCCATCCTCTCACCCAGTGTCCACAGAGCAAGTGCCTACTCTGTGCTGGCCTGCTGCTGGGGCACCAGGCACTGAGCAGCTCAGATACAGTCCCTGCCCGGCTACAGCTAAGGAATGTCAGGGAAGTAGGTATCGAACGCTTATTGTTATCAAGGAGAAGTACATTGTGCCGCGGGACTCAGCGAAGGCTTCCCTGAGATTCTATTACTGAAGCCAACACCTGAAGGCTAAGGAGGGATTAGTAAGGACTGATGACGCAGGTGGAGGCCCAGACCCAGGGTGGGATGCGTGGGAGGCTGAAAGATGGCCGCTATGGATGGCACCCAGGTGGTGAGGATGGGTGTGGTGGGGGAGGCCAGCCGGGGCCAGATCTCCAGGGCCTGGGAGCACAGGGAAGCTGCTGGTGACTCAAGAGCAGGGATTTGCCAGTTGGACGGATGACCCTGGGCCAGAAATGTCTAGAGGAGGCAGGAGCAGATCAGGGAGACTGTGCATTCCTGGCTAGAGACAGTGGTGGCAGCGGAGATGGAGAGAAGCGGGTACCTGTGAGGCTGTTCCGGAGCTGGGCTTGGCAGGGATCGCCTGGGTGTGGGAACAAGCGTCCTAGCATGTGGCGATCAGATGATGGAGCTGTGTATCAACATGGGTAGGTAGGAGGAGAAACAGTTTGTGGGGTTTTTTGAGTGGGGCAGGGGATGATTCTTTTTCAAGTTCCAAGCCTGGTGCATGAAGAATGTGGGAGTGAGAGAGTTGGCTTGAATCCTAGTTCTACCACCTTCTAGAGATGTGACCTTGGGCAGGTCACCTCTCTCTGAATTTCAGTTTCCTCCTTGGTAAAATGGGGATGATAATGCTGCCCTTACAGGGTTTTGGGGGAGGATACAGTTAGATAATGTAAGTAAAGTGCCTGGCACAATGTCTGGCATGTAGTAAGTGCTCAATAAACGTGGGTTCCTTTCCTTGTTGTGGGGATGAACTATGAGGGTAGGGGAAGAGGGGTCAGCAGGCCTTCCCTGCCCCTACCCTCAGCTGGGCTCTGGGGCTTAGGTGAGAACCTTCTGCCCAATGGGGCCAGGTCTTCTGGTGGAGGGGCATCGGGGGTCCCCAGCCTGCGGGCTCCGCGGCCTTGCCTCTAGTGCCCCCCTTCTCACCTGCAGGGAAACGCTGCGAGAGAAGCTGCTGCCTGCAGAAGCGGATGAGGATGCTGAGGGCGTATGCAAGCCTCTGTCCTGTGGCTGGGAGATCACAGACACTTTGTGCGTGGGCCCTGTCTTCACCCCAGCGAGCATCATGTGAGCGGGACCCGTGGCCCCCCTCCCCCACCGCCTGGGAGAACCCCAGCGGGGACTCACAGATGCCTCTTGGAGAGGTGGGGCAGGCGGCAAGCAGGGCACCCTCTGCCAGGACTCCGGTGCTTGCCCTGCCGCCCCCACCCCCCTTGCCCCACCTGTAGTGTTTCTGCCCTGTAAATAGGACCAGTTTTACACTTGCTGTAGTTCAAGTATGCAACATAAATCCTGTCCCTTCCAACTGTGTCCGCCTCCTCTGCAGCGCAAAGGGCCTGGTCAGCCAGGTGTGGGGTGTTCTTGGGGTCTCCTGTGGTCTCCTTCACACCTCTGTAAATATGAAGCAAATAAATATTTAGGTTTTTTATTTTTATTTTTTAATACTCCAGTAGAATCCGGCAGTTCAATTCACAGAACGGCCTGGGCTCAGCTGGGGGAGACTTCCCTCCCTACACGGAGGACCCCACAGCCTCTGCCTCAGTCCTGACCTGGCTGTAGGGTGGGCGTCTCCTACTGGCACCAGCTTCTCTGACTCACCCCTCTCCACAGGCCTCCGTGCTTGGCATCATGAGGAAGGGTGAGCTGTCGGGGGTTGAGGTGGGATCAAAGCTGCCTCTCCTCAGCCCTGGAGCTGCAGCTCAGGACTGAGAGGCGCCTCTGTGTGAACCTAACACCCAGCCGAAGGCCTGACCCACAGTGGGGGCAATTGAATATTTGACACAGCTTTGGAAATTCATACCAGAGATAATGAGCAAAGGGATGGGTGTCGGGGAGGTTTTGAGGGGACGCTGCAGTCTCACACCTTGCAGGCCTACAAGGCAATGAGTTGTGCCAATATGGGGGGGGGTTGGTTTTGCTTGTTGAGACAGTAACCCCTAGAACAGAGTTGGCCATAACGTATTGCCACATCCAATACAAGGGCCCTCATGTTGCTGTCTCCTCAGACTTGGGGTCTTTGTCACTACAAAGGCTCCTTCATACTGCCAGGGTCCCAGGCTACACACCTATTTAGCAAAAGAGTTCAGATTTTCTAGTTCCCCAGGGGCTATGGGTGACCCAAAAGATTTTTCTTCTGTCATTAAAAAAATTGACATATAATTCCTTAAAACTCACCCTTTCGAAGTGTAGCATTCGGTGGTTTTTAGTATAGTCATAGTTTATACAAGCATCACCACTGTCTAATTCTAGAAATTGTTCATCGTCTCAAAAAGAAACCTTGTACCCATCAACAATTACTCTCCATCTCCCTGACAGCCACTAATCTACTTTCCATCTCTATGGATTTGCCTATTCTGGATATTTCATTTTAATTTTTTAAAATGTTTTTATTAAACTGTACCTAACATACAATGTTAGTTTCAAGTGTACACAATAATTATTCAACATTTATAGACCTAAAGGAGTGATCACCCTGATAAGTCCAGCAACCATTTGACACTGTACTGTGCTATTACAATATTATTGACTATATTCCCCGTACTGTACATTATATCCCCATGACTTATTAGTTTTATATCTGGAAATTTGGACCACTTATTGCCCTTCACCTTTCCCCTCCCTTTTTAATTTTTCAATTACTGTTGACATTCAATATTATTTTATATTCATTTCAGGGGTACAGCATAGTGGTTAGACATTTATATAATTTAAGAAGTAATTACCTTGACTAGTCTAGTACCCACCTGGCACTATATGTAGCTCTTAACATGTTATTGACTATATTCCCTATGCTGTACTTTACATCCCTAAGACTACTTTGTAACTACCAATTTGTACATTCTTAATCCCTTCCCCTTTTATCACCTACACTCCCACATACTCTCCCATCTGGCAACCATCAAAATGTTCTCTGTATCTATGAGTTTGTTTCTGATTTGTTTGTTTATTTTGTTCTTTAGGTTCCACATATAAACAAAACCACATTGCATCTGTCTTTATCTATCTGACATATTCCACTCAGCACAGCCACCCTCCAGGTCCAACCATGCTGCACAGAAGACAAGAACCCATTCCCTTCCATGACTGAGCACTATTCCACTGTATAAATGTACCACCTCCTCTTTATCCACTCTTTCATCAATGGACACCCAGGCTGCCTCCACATCTTGGCCATTGTAAACAATGCTGCAATGAACATATGGGTGCACATGTCCCCTCAAAGTAGCATTTTGGGTTTCTTTTGATAAATACCTGAAGTGAGATTACTGGGTCCTTCTTTGTCTCTTGTTATAGCCTGTTTTAAAGTCTGTTTTGTCTGGTATAAGTATAGCTACTACAGCTTTTTCTTTGTTTGTTTCCATTTTCATGAATATATTTTTCATCTCTTTACTTTCTGCCTGTGTGTATCTTTCAATCTGAAGTGATTCTCTTGTAGGCAGCATATGTAAAGGTTTTGTTTTCTTATCCATTCAGTCCTGTTTTTTTGTTTGTTCGTTTGTTTGTTTATTTTGTTTCAAAGATTTTATTGGGGAATTCAGGAAGGAAAACAGAGAAGTTGTTGTCCTTTATTCTTAGTTGTGGAGGGAGCAGCTAGCTCAGCTCCCAAGTCCAGTCACCATCTGGCCACCCGTTGGCAGCTCGTGGCCACTCAGTTCAAGCTGCCGTGTTCAATCTTAGTTGTGGGTGGGCATAGCCCACCATCCCATGCGGGAGTTGAACTGGCAACCTTGTTGTTAGGAGCATGTGCTCTCACCAGCTGAGCCATCTGGCCGCCCGTTGGCAGCTCAGTGAAAACTCAGCTCAGACACAGCTCACTGGCCCATGTGGGAATCGAACCAGTGACCCTGTTGCTCAGAGCTCGCATTCTTAACCAACTGAGCCACTTGGCCGGCCCCCTCCTATGTCTTTGATTGGAGCATTTAATCTATTTACATTGAAAGTAATTGTTGATAGATATGTGCCCTGTTTCCCCCAAAATAAGACCTAGCCGGAAAATAAGCCATAGCTTGATTTTAGGTGACAAAATATGGCACCTTGGCATACTAAATATTTTAAGCTGAAGGAGTTTATGGAAAAGGCACCCTTCTCCCTGAAACAGGTCATAAAACCCTTATGTGAGGGGTGTGTGCCCTCCATATCCTGGAGGAATCATGCTATGACTTATTCTCCGGCGAGGTCTTATTTTCGGGGAAACACGGTAGGTATTGCCATTTTATTATTCATAATTTTGATCTTTTTTTTTTCCTGTCTTGAAGAAGACCCTCTAACATTCTTTGTAATATTGATTTGGTGGTGATGAACTCCTTTAGTTTTTTCTTGTCTGGGAAGCTCATTATTTGTCCTTTAATTTTAGATGATAGCCTTGCTGGGTAGAATAGTCTTGGTTGTAGGTCCTTGCTTTTCATCACATTGAATATTTTGTGCCAATCCCTTCTGGCCTGCAAAGTTTCTGTTGAGAAATCAGCTGACAATCTTATGGGGGCTCCCTTGTAAGTTACCAGCTGCCTTTTTCTTGCTGCTTTTAGGATTCTCTCTTTGTCTTTAACCTTTGTCATTTTAATTATGATGTGTCTTGGCGTGGGCCTGTTTGGGTTCATCTTGTTTGGGACTCTCTGTGCTGTCTGGGCTTTTGTGTCTTTCCTTTGCCAGGTTAAGAAAGTTTTCAGTCATTATTTCTTCAAATAGGTTCTCAATCCTTTGCTTTCTCTCTTCTCCTTCTGGTACTCCTATGATGTGAATGTTTTTACACTTCATGTTGTCCCAGAGGTATCTAATACTATCCTCATTTTTTTGGATTCTTTTTTCTTTTTGCTGTTCACATTGGGTATTTTCTTTTTTTTTTTTTTAAAGATTTTATTGAGGCATTGGGGGAGGGGAATAGCGCTGGGGAATCGGGGGAAGGGGAACAGACAAGTTGCTGTCCTTTGGTTCTTCAGTCTAGTTGTGGAGGATGTGGCTTCACTGGCCCATGTTGGTATTATCATTGCGCTGTTCCCGTATGAGGCAGATCAGTCACCGGCCTCTGGACGGCCGCTCACAGCAGCTCTTGGCAGCTCAGTCCAGCTGCGGGCCGCTCACACTAGCTGCCGGCCACTCACACTGGCTGCTGGCCACACATTGTAGCTTATGGCAGCTCACTGCAGCAGGGGCTGCAGCCTACGCCGTCGCTGGTGACTAATAGCAACCCAGCTCCAGGTCGAGCTGCTGCTCACCATCTTAGCTGTAGAGGGCAGTGTCACTGGCCCTCATGTGAGATCTGAACCGGGGCCCTGCTGCTCAGAGCTGGCGTCCCAAGCCAGCTCTTAACCAACATGCCACTCGGCTGGCCCCTCATTTTGATTTTTTATACATTCACTTGAGCTTCTTTCTGGGTAAGCCTGGTATGTGTATTTTTTCCACACCACCAAGCAATTCTCCAACACCAGCTAGGTGTCCTACAATTCAACTCAATTCTGACACTATCTACTTGGAGATAGCTTCAGATCCCACAGGTTAAGGGCTCAGTCCTCCACCCTCTACTTCAGGGGCCAATTGCTAAGTCTAGGTTGTCACCTGTGCTTCTGACCAACTGGCTATAGGTTAGAGGTTCTAACAGCCACTTTCTTGGGTTCAATTAATTTGCTAGAGGGGCTCACAGAACTCAGAGAAACATTTTATTTACTAGATTACCAGTTTATTAAAAAAAGATATAACTCAGGAACAACCAGATGGCAGAGATGCACAGGGCAAGGAGGAATGGAGAAATGGCGAGGAGCTTCCATTCTCTCCCCTAGCACACTACTCTCCCGGCACTTCCATGTGTTCACCAACCCAGAAGCTCTCTGAACTTGTCCTTTGGGTTCTTATGGAGGCTTCATTACATAGGCATGATTGATTGAATCATCGGCCATTGGTGATTGAACTTCATCTCAAGCCCCTCTCCCCTCCCTGAAGGGTGGGACATAACAAAAGACACCTTTGTCACTCTCATCACTTAGAAAATTCCAAGGATTTTAGGAGCTCTACACCAGGAATGGGGATGAAGACCAAAAATGTATTTCTTAATATAAATCACAATATCACACTTGACCATTCTGTTTCAGTATCTCAGCCAGTCCTGGGTCATGCACATGGCTTTGAGATCTTCTTATGAGGAAGTGTGTTCTGAGTAAATTAGGTGCTTGCCAAAAGCAGAGGTGTCACCCTTTTCCAGGCTGGGCCTATATATATATATATATATATGTTTTTTTTTTTATTGGGGAGTTGGGGAAGGGGAACAGTGTTGGGGAATCAAGGAAAGGGAACAGACAGGTAGACAAATTGCTGTTTTGTTCTTCAGTCTAGTTGTGGAAGACGTTGTTTCACTGGCCCATGTTGGTATTATCGTTGCGCTCTTCCCAGGTGAGGCAATCGGTCGCTGGTCATTGGTCGGCCACTCACTGCGGCT